TTTGTACCCGTGTATTCCTGCTTATTTTCAAGTATTTATTTATTTCTTCGTTGTTACTGTTTTATTGAATGGCGACATCGTTCATGTTGGAGCTTAAGCGATAAAGTGTTATTGTTAAAAGAATTAAACGACTTCCAACAACGTCAATTACACAGGAGCTTAGAATTGTCGTGATGCCACCGATTTGGTCACAAACAGGCGGATGTATTCGTTAAAGAGCACAATAATCGAAAGCTGTTCTAGGAATTCAGAGACTCTAGTCACAGAAAAGGCCTCGAACTCACACAGGCAACCAGTCGAGGCAGACCTCCTCTCAAAAACCACTGTGATTTTTCACCCAGCAATCAGCGATGTCTATAATCGGGCGACGCTTTATTCTCTCAAGCCAACCTGTTTGAAGATCTCTGTTCTGGATATGTTAGGTCTTATTTGATGGTCATAACAAGTCAGAATATGATGTTTGCATTAGAAAGGACTGCGTATTCACTGACTAGTACACCTGTGCAGATCTGTTAACTGGATCTTAGGATGAGTCGTCTGCAGAAAGACACCATTTCGACTGCAGTTGGTGGGTATTTCCCGTGGAGGAAGCATTCTTCCGCTCTATTTTAGACCATCCTGTCAAACCAGGACAAGTGCCGGTTCTTAATTCTTTAGAAGTTTTCCCAGGTTCTTCATTAAATTGATCTGCAGTAACATATTTTGACTACTTTGCCCGCTCAATAGTTATTAACTCACAGCTTAACGTATAAACAGCTAATACAGATGTAGGTTTACGATGAATGGATGACTTTCATCAACCGCAGGTACTTAACGCCAGATTGTGACCGGCACAACGCATGTGGAACTGAAGCACAGACTCCAGTCGTTGCCCGCAACTGAAGCACAAGCTCCAATAGTTGCCCTCGATTCTGAAGGCATAATACGAAATATATATTTATGGCGACTTCTCTGGCTTGAGCAAAGCGTTTCTTTTTCAGGAAAGCTTCTTGAGGTGAAATTGAAAAGTTGTAGATCCTGGTTAAATAGATCTCAAGAAATTTTATGCATGATTTGATTGAGAATAGTTGAGTATTTGTGTTGTGTTGTTAAACCTCTGATCTCATTTCGATGCTTCAGTCAGAATATCTTTATCCTAGTGGATCTTCTGTAAGCGCATAACGAGAGTCCTCATCTCTTGGCTCCTTTACTGCCCATGTCGGGGTTCGCGGTTACTTTTCACGGCTACTGTTGCATCTGAAGATAATGTAGTCAAAGGTACTCTGCTGCGACATGTGATTGATTCATTATTTTAGTCGTTGTTCGCATTTAGTCGGGTGACAACCATGTATAGATATCCTTCTTGTTTCCCAGGCAGATTTCCGTTGATGCGTTTACTTTTTGATAGGTGATCGACTCCATCCGTGACAGGCTACCACTCGAGACCGATCTTTGGTCTTAAGTGGATTCTAAATGAATATTCAAGAAATGTGCTTGTTGTGTGCATAGTTGTAGTACAGTGTGTGTACTGAGATGTATTGGCTCTTGACTACCAACAAATCCGTTTCGGTAAATGCCGTCGTTGGCATACACCAAACTGTGATTCAGAGTGCAACAATGTTCACATGTGACCCCTCTACAGTGACTATTTTAGGTAACTTC